GAGTGAGGCTTCTCATCTCAGCACAGCCCAAATGGATTAAAAGAACAAATACTAGATTGCTCTTCTTGCTAGAACTGATACAACAATGTGACTATTAAACAATAACAGGAAATCAACACTTCAGGCATTCCTCCTGCCATCTTCAGAACTGACTAACCTCATCAAGAGGGGAACTGAACAGGACACTGACAACTGCCTCTCCTCCACTCGGAAGAACTCATGGCTAAGGACTGAATGCCCACTGTGCGCAGAACATTGTAGCCACAATGGGGCCACCAAGCTTAGAAGCCCAAACCCTCTTAAGGGGAACCCAATTAGGGCAACAAGACACAGACAAGACAAAGAAAAAATCCAGACACTCAAGAAACTCAAAGAGGGAGAAATGGTGACAGTGCCACTGCCAAGTTAGGAGTCAGGAAGGACTGGCCCTGTACAAACAGCAGGGCAATAGCATCCATCCTTTCACTCAACATAAACATATTGGGCCTGCACAGCCACAGGTCAAGGTGGAGTGAGCATCCCAGACAAGTGACCAGAGCAGCAGACAAGGTCAGACTGCAGAAGGCCCTGAGGGTCAGAGCAGGTCAAGCGGATCACAGGGAATCTTCACAGGAGTCTGACCTTGAAGGCAAAGTGAGAAGATGCACAAAGTAGTATCTTGTACACACGCAATTACTTCCTGACACTAAGCTAATGAAAACACGTGTCTGGTTTCTACAACATCACCACTTTGGATTGAGTGTGTTGAAGTATAGGTGGAGCGTAGGAAGAGGAGACGGAAAATTCCATAAATGTACAAATAAAATTGCATGGCTTTTTTTCTTATCACCATGGGTAGAATTTTTTTTATGTTCCTACACCAAAATACAACATAAAAGAGTATATAACAAAAAGATATGAATAATATAACTTATCTATAGAAGTATGATATTAATAATGAATGAATAATATAACCTATCTAGACAATTGTAGAGAGCACCTCTTGGTGCCAAGTTATCTGCACGGTTCAGCCCCTTCAAAGCAGGAAAGCTGTTCCATGCTCTCCAATAACCAAGTCTAGGGGTCAGTTGAGATACTGCCAAAATAACAGGTAACATGTTAAGTGCTTACTAAGTTTAAGGCACTTACTCCTCACAAAATCATCCGAGATCAGCACCATTATTACCCTCATTTTGCAGATGAGGAAACTGAGGACAGAGAGGCAAAAAGAAATGGAGACAGCAGTCAAATCCTGGAAGCCTGGCCAGAGGGTCAACTCAATGGTTGTAGGTGGTTTGACTAATGATGCATTATTCAAGTTCTTCAGCACTTAGAGACCCACGAGAAAAAGAAAAAATAAAAAGGACTCAACCAACAGAAAACATTTCCAAAATAAATAATTATATAAATAACCAATGTTGGCAAATGTTAGTATTCAATTTTTTAACCACATCTTCGGATGCTCCTATTTCACCCACGATTAACAAATCTCGGCCATCGTTAAGTCTGCCTGACCCAACCTACTAGTTAATGAAGCAGAAAACCCTCAAATTCAAATAACACCTATAAATATTCTCTTTTCGACAGACTCCAATGCACACATGAGGGAACTTTTTCTGAAAAAATATTCAAAATACTTTCAAAAAAACTCCCTAAAAATAACTTTCCGCAGAACTCTCTGCAATTTAGATACATATATATAAATATACAATTTAGGTAGATACATATGCATTTATATACACAGTTTAGACAGATATAGAGAGATCTGTATATATCCTCACCCCCACCCAGGTATATGCAGCGTAAAATAGTCTCCAAAAGGTAAATATATAGACAGAAATGAAATATTTAGAAAATTATTTTGAGTACCAGTTTCACTTTCATTATAGCTTTGATTAAAATAGCTAAGCTATAAATGCTCCCATAGTGAGTATTCCAGACAGCGCTTCCAAATGCTAACTTTTTTTTACCAAAACAAACTGTATTATACATATAAACAAAACAAAGCCAGAAGTTAAGAATTTTACAAAATAACTTTTGAGCCTATAAATAAAATAATCATTTCATAGGCCTTGACATTTCCATCTCCTAGCACAGTGACTAAATCTTCAACGAATGCTGTAACAAACAAGAGTCTATCATTTCCTTTCCTTTCAGTCTGGGTTGGCTTCCAACACTACCGAATAAGAGGCAGAGGCTACAGCTAAGTAAAAATGCAAATACATACAGACATACACCAGTGCTTCTCAACCTGAGCAATTTTGCTCCCCAGGGAAATCTGGCAATGTGTGGAGACATTTTTAGCTGTTACAAGGCTGGGTGGAGAGGCAGGAGTGAGTGCCACTGGCATCTAGTGGGTAGAGGCAAGGATGCTCTGACTGTTTGACATCCTACTGCTCGACATCCTACACTGCCCAGGACAGCGCCCCCCACAACAAAGAATCCTCCAGTCCAAAATGTCACGACTGCCACTGCTGAACCACTCTGATACACACAAATATAACTATATATGTTTTAAGTAAATACATCAAATATTAAGTGTGGTCCTCTCAGAAGGACTATGAGCCATTTCTATTTTCTTCTTACCTTTCTGTATTTTCCAAACCTTGGACAATACACGTGAAATTTATAACCAGGACAAAAATCCACTTGGGAATAAACTTTTAAGAGACAGACTATTTGCTCCCTATCCTGACCAGGCCTTTTCTCCAAGGACTGGTCTTATTCAGCCTGCTGGCCTTCAGGGAAGGTCCAGGAAATTTTTCCTCTAAAATCACCTCTCCGCCTTGAAGCTGTTATTCATTAGCCCTGGTTAAAATGAATATTCCAAATATCTGAAAACCAGCACTCTAAATGCTTCACATAGGAGAGAGAAAACTGACAAATAAGACTGTACAGCCTCTCCGGTGAACTTACAGCTAGACATCCTGTTTTTCTAAACAGCCACAAGAGACAACACAGAATTAAGTGCCGCCACCAATGTGGGAAGTAACGAACACCTTAAAAATTACCGCACACAGGCTGAATATTCCCTCAAAACTCAAACCACCCCCCTACCCACCCAGAAAAAAACACATTTGGGGTCGCAACCGTCGCTGCTGAAAAACAATCAACAATATTATATTTAAACGTGTACATTTGCAGTGAATGAGGATTTCTCCTAAAAGTTAAACCCCGGACACAAAAGCTTTGCGGGACTGTATCTTTTGCAGCAGTAAACCCTGTATGATGCCACAGATCTCAATAAAATATTAGTGATTATTTTTCCACATGCAATCATTATATCATCATATAGGAAGAAAAAAACCCAAAACTTGAAATTCAAGTTCTTAAGAGGGTGTATTCTAACACGAATTAAAGGCACTTGGAAAAAATCCAAGATTACAATTCTTTAAAGTCACATCTTCATCCCAAAGGTACTTAACGCTAATGGCAAGTACCACTCACGAACATTTCTGAAATCAACATTCTCGATGTCCTCAGGCCCCCAGGACCAGCTTGCTGAGAGAAAGAACAGGTCACCCGTCCCTCGCCCACCCAGGACCACAGCCGACCCGGGGTCCAGCCCTTCTCCTCAGTTCGGCAGCCGCTGGCCACAGCCCTGCTGAGGTGGCCTCGGCTCCCACCTCCTGAACTTGGGGCCGGCGTGACTCACGCCCTGTCACATGGCGAGGGAGGAGGCCGAGAGAGCCACCGCTGCCAGGTGTTTAGGCTGGGCCGACCGTTTATTTGCCTTGCAAAGTGGCCCGAGCGCCTGTGCCGCTGGGGGGCCGGCGGCCTCCGGGCTTCTCCTCCCTCGCACACCCACACCCGCCCTGTCACCTGGGCGTCCTCACCTGAGTGGGCAGCAGGAGTTCCCCTTCTTCTGCCTGCCACAGCTCCACCACGTTCGGTAGGGGCTCAACTGCTGCACGAACACCAAAAAAGACACCGCGTTTTTAATGCACGGAAAAGAAACGCTTCCTGTTTCCCTACCGTCCCCGCCATGCACCCGCCTCACCAAAACAAGACTCCCTTTCCTTCTAACAGCGGAGGCCACCCGAGGAGCGAGCCGGGGCTGGGAACACAATGGGCGGGTGGACGCCGGGGCCCCTGTGACAGAGGCGAGGGCACGCAGAGTCGCGGGGTGTCGTGCGGGGAGGACCGAGGGGCTGAGGCCACCAGGCGGGACACTCTGCGCTCCGCATCCCGCAGCATCTGGTGCGGGCGCCTGCGGGATGGGTCCTAGGCGGCCGGGCTCGGGGAACAAAGCTGCAGGAAGCCGGGCCGCGGCGGGGCCCCGGCGCGCGCTACACAAAGCGGGGGCTGCGCCCGGGGCGCCGGGGTCCCGCGCACAAAGGCTCCGGGACGCGCGCGGCTAGCGGTCCGCGCCGCTGTCCCCGAGCCCCGCGACTTCCCGGCTTTCTGTTTGGATGGGGGCGGGGGGCGTGGGAGGGGACGCTGTGGTCAGAAAATGTTATCAGCCGAGAATTGCAACCGCTTTCCTTCCTCCTCCTGCCCCTTTCCCTTTCCTCCCTTCGCCCTCTTATAGATTTCAGCAGTTCCCTAAAAGAAAGAGAAGGGGGGGCGGGGTGGAGAGGGAAAGCGAGCAAAAGCGGCGCGAGGCTGACCTTGTCCCTGAGCCCCTCCCGGGCGACAGCAGGGCAGGAGGACCTGGAAGACACCCAGCAAGAGGTTCACGGCCGCGGCAGTGCGGCAGTAGCAGCCCGGCTGCGGGCGTCGGAGCCCCGCCATGCTGGTGCTCGCGCTCCTCTCGGCTGCTCGCCGCGCTTGCCACTCGCTCGCTGGCGCCCGGGCCGCCGCGCCCCGGGCCCGCCCCCGCGCAGCCCCGCCCCGCCCGCCCCGCCCCGCGCCGCGCCGCGCCGCCCCGCGCCGCCCCCGCCGCCGCAGCTGCTGCAGCCCTAGCCCGAGCGCGGCTGGCCCGGCGCGCCTGTGCGCCCCAGATAGGGAGGGACGGAACGCCGCGGGTGCGGGAGAGCGTGGACAATGCGAACGCCGCGGCCCGCCCCGCCCCGGCCCCGGCCCCGAGCGCAGGCTGCCCGCCCGCCCCCAGCCCCGCGGCTCCTCTCCCGCATCTCCGATGCCCCGGGCACTTTCCATAGCGGTGACAGGGTCGTTGAGAGCTGTCGGGAGGGACGGCCAGACCACTGTCGCCAAGTGCGATCTCAAGAACTTTCGGGGGGTTTCCTCTTTGTTTGGGCACGCGGGCCACAGTCGGGTTATTACCCACGGGGGAGGGGAGCGGCGGCGGGTGGTGGGAGAGAGGAGTCTGCCCAGCGAGAGGCCGTAGACAGGATATTAGTGGAAATAATGCCGTGGTTGTCAGGAAACGCGAGTGCAGCCACATGGCTACTGCCAGTTATGCAGCGAGGATATCCGGTGGCTGCGAAGTCTGTAATTTAGAATAAAAAGAGCTCTCTCAAGACCCGAGAGGCTGACCTCAGCGCCGCGTGGCGGTGGTGCGCCCGGCACCCTCCGTGGAGAAGGTCCAGGTTGTGACAGGTGGGGAAGCCTCTTCCTAGCGGATTTATGGCTTCAAGACTCTGCAGATACTCCCCTTCGGATTCATATTGCAAAATTCACTCAGCCTATTCTGAAACACGGTTGGGATCGAGGACATAGTCAAGTTGCCTATTTCTAAAATTAACAGGATAGTATAAGTAATACTTGGTAATGTATTTTCTAGCCCCATTTTTTGGCGCCTATGACCAAAAAGTACGTCTAAGGTCTGAGATCTCTTTTAATATCATGCCTTTGCCAACGATAGCACGGACAACGGTTTATTCAGGAATCGATTTCCATAACTGGAAGTATTGGCAATCAAGCTTTTTTAGTTAATTTGCTGCTTCCAGATTAGCTTGTATGCATTTCAGAGAATAGGAGCGGTGTAGAATGAGGAGGGGACGCGAGCAGGGCACACCTGTCTGCTGGCATTCATCCTCTGTTTAATTGCCTCTGGTGCCTTACAGTCTAGACAATGGAAAGGCAGTGGTCGAGTAGCAGGACAGATGCCGGAGAAGGACTCAATTCTGGATCCTCTGTCTCCTAAGGACATAACACAGTACTGTGAACCCAGTCTCACACTTGTCTGGACATAACTCTAAACAAGGTTAGTAGCCTCATTGCTTGGCCAGAATTTAACATTTAAGAAGATTAGCATAAATATAAGTCCTTGATGTGGAAAAAATTCACTTTTCGTTATACGCCTTGGACACCTCCAGTATTCCCTCTGTTCCTTGCACTTTTCGTCTGTTTCCTGCTGGCATCTTCCTTTCCTTAGCAAGGCTCTCTAATCCCACGCCAATGTATCCCTTTGTTCTCTTCATTTCACTTCTCTAAGCTTGTATTTGCCCCTTGGGCTCTGAAGGTCCCCCTACTGTGTTAAGGGTTATGGCAAGAAACCTTGCACAACCCACTTAGGCAGTAACTGCATCTTCAAAGTTTGTTTTTAAATGAAAGTTCTCTCAGTGGCCTACTTATTTACAATATGCATCTTTAAGTGCTCTTTTGACTATACTAAGAAAGGAAAGCAAGCAAATATTGACAGCCTAACGTTTTATTAAACAGATTTAATAAAAAGTCATGGTACTTTTTTACTAATTTTTAAGTTATTTTACTTTTTCACTAAAATTCTTCCCTACACTAACCAGTATCACAGAATCAATAGAAATGACTTTAAAGATAGAGGAAAATTGCTGCGGACCATATATAAATACGGCTCTATTTTGTTCTCCTACTGCAGCTTTTTAAAGGCCAGCTCGATTTTTCAAGTTGTGGTCTTGCGGACTTTACAAAGTGGGTAATGCTATTTGACTGTTGTTCAGAAAGGCAGAAACGTGTATCTGCAGTGCCGTGATGTTGAGAGGGGTACAGGATTACACAGCTGTCTTCTTAGATAAATCTGACCTACTTAGCCTTCTCTGGAGGTATTTTTCATGCTGACTCATGAACAACAGGAAAGTTTTGGCCCATTAAGTAACATCCATGTTTTGAAGTAAACTTGTTCTCCAAAGAAGACTCCTGTGTCATTTGTGCTATATTTCCTTTATTTCCCTGTAGATGGTAGATACTCTATTATCACAGAATATGAAGGCTGGAAAAATTTTGGCTATTAAATAATAGCCAACTGCCTCATTTTACAGAAGAAGCTGCCCACAAAGGATGAGAAATATCCAAGTTATAGTGGCAAAGTTATGGAGAAGTATATGTGCAATAATGTTAACTAAAAAAATTTAACGTGAACATGAATTAACTCATTATGCAAATTAGGCACACAAGATAAGCATGGAAGACACACTAAGGAGATATCTTACTAGAGTATATCAGTTTTAAATTAGGTCCATATAAATTTAAAAAAAATTTTTTTTTAAAACCACACCTAAAATTGGCCAAATCTGCACTTATTTTAAAATATGCAAGGGGGCCGGCCCAGTGGAGCTGCGGTTAAGTGCACATGTTCTGCTTTGGCGGCCCAGGGTTCACCGGTTCAGATCCCAGAGTGGATATGGGACCCGCTTGGCACACCATGCTGTGGTAGGCGTCCCACATATAAAGTAGACGAAGATGGGCACGGATGTTAGTTCAGGGCCAGTCTTCCTCAGCAAAAAGAAGAGGATTGGCAGTAGTTAGCTCAGGGCTAATCTTCCTCAAAATAAATAAATAATTAAAAAATAAAATAAAATATGCAAGATACTAACCATGCTTTTGACTTACTTTACCGTTGTTCTTTTTTTCTTAATGAGTACAGATGAAAACCAAGCCAGTCTATAAATGTGAGTTATGTCTCCACACATCCTACATAACATTGACAGTGAAGTGTCAAGCCTAAATCACCTATCTCTAATCCAGAACAGATCCAACACCAGGGCACAAGGTGGTTGTGAAGACTAAATGAGATAATGTATGGTAAGCATCTAGCATAGGTGCTCAATAAAAGCTAGTAGTGATATTACCATGTATTCACATTGTAGGAGCATGCCAGACCTTTCATGAATATGGTAAATTTGATACTGATATTCAGTTATTTAAATTACCTATTTATTATCATTCACTTATCTACCATTGTCACTCAGACATTCTGGAAATGGGAAGGATTAGTAAAAATGTACATGTAACAGCTGTTTGCTGGTTCATCTATCCATACATTTTGGGCCCCACCCCAATGGAGACAACAAAACCAGTGTTTCTTTCTTTCTTTTTTTTTTGGTGAGGAAGATTGTCACTGAGCTAACGTCTGTGCCAGTCTTCCTCTATTTTTTAATGTGCTTTTTATTTTATTTTTTATGATGCTGCCACAGCGTGGCTTGACGAGCAGTGCTAGGTCCGCACCCAGGATCCAAACCTGCAAACCCCGGGCCACGGAAGTGGAGAGCCCGAACTTAACCACTGCACCACTGGGCTGGCCCCAAAACCAAGTGTTTCAGCAAACCTCCACCACCATCATTGCTGGGATCCAACCCTCATCCTTGCCTGATGAAAGGGAGGAAATGCCTGAAAGGATGCTTCTTGAGCATAGCAGAAACCTAGTGATTATAGTCAGGTACTTTTGAGATGCAAACTGTCCCCTTGACTCAAGGGGACCTTTCTTACTCTGTTTTCCATTTCATCTCATCTCAGGAAGCCTCCATTAAGTGCATTGGATAAGTGTTCTCTCCTTTCTCAAACTACTCTGTCATGTTAAACAATTATCCTTTTCTGTTATGGGCACATCAATTTTGGAAAGCAGTAGTATTCATAGTTAAAAATGATCATCTTTCTCTTATGTTTTTTTCAAAGCTCATAAAACTGTACAATAAAAGAGTAAATTTTACTGTATATAAATGAAAATTAAATTGATTAAAATTTTTAATTAAAGAAGTAACTTTTTTTAAAAAGACAAATGTTTTAAAAGGAGGCTAGAATGAGATTTATACAAGATACCTTGAGTCTGGTCCTACTAAATGTTTAAATATAATTAAATGAATGAAACATGAATGAACAAAAGTAGTCAGCTTCCCAGCCTCCCTTGCAACATAGCATGGCTATTTGTCCTATTCTGGTCAATGAGAGATAAGCAGACTTCTACTAGCATGGCTTCAAAGAAAGCTATTGTTTTCATTATGAAAAGGAATAGACTCAGCTCTTACAGGAGTTTTGTTCTGTGTCCTTCCTCTTGTGGGAATATAGATGTGATGCCCAGAGGTTTGGCAGCCATCAGGCCAGTCTGAGGAAGAAAGCTTCCTGCTGAGGGTGGGGATTGGAAAGGCAGAAGTCTGGATCTTTGGTGGAATTACGAAATTGCTAGATTGTCTACTTTTAAACATTTTGCTTTGTAAGCATAAGTAACCCCTTCTTCCTGTAGTCAAGGTTTCTGTTACTTGCAGCCAAAAACGATCTCAAGTGAGAGAAAGAAAAAAGTCATACAAAAATGAAACTAAACCATAATCATTAACAATAGCCAGTCTCAAAGATATGCTTATCTTAACAGGATGCTCATATAACAAGGGAAAAATAGCAAACTAGTACTTGGTTTATTTTACAAGTGCTAATTAAAACAACTGTCGTGCATCATTTTATATCAATTAAATTAGCAAAATAAATAAAGGCAATAAAAGTAAATACTGATTAGATGGCTGCAGAGAAACAGTGCTTATCACTTATTAAACTAGTTTATTCTCCAACAGACAGTCTGCTATCACCAGGGCTATCACTTTAAGCCTATACAAATGACACTCCTGGCATGTGCAACATACAGCTCTATGTCTATGACATAGCTCTAAAAATCTATGAGATTTTTCCTACTTTCTCAATCTGCTTTGCAGCCTCTTCCTCCCATGCCCAACCTCTGAAAGTAAGAGGACCCCAGGGCTTGGTCCTGAGTACTGTTTTTACTTTCTGTCTCTAGGATGAACTCATCCAGCCCTGTGTCTTTAAATATTATTTATAAGCCAATGAGTCCCAAGTCGTAATTTTAGCCCTAACCTGAAGTTCCACACTCGTGTATCCAACTGCCTACTTGCTATTTTCACTTGAATGGCTAATGAGCACCTCTAACCTAAGGTGTCCAAAACTCTCGAGTCCACCTATCCAACCTGTTACATCCCAGTCTTCCTAACTTGCGGTCCATGGCAGCACCGTCTAGCCAGTTGCTCAAGCCAAAAGCCAAGGAGTCATATTTAATTCCTCTTCCCTTTACACACTTTAAATCTATCAGCAGGTCCTGTGGGGCCCACCTCCAGACTATTTCCCATACCTATCCTTGCTTTCTTGACCACTACGCTGAGGTAAGCGCCTCATCCCTCGCATAGACCCCTACAATTGCCTTCTACTAGTCTCTCTGCTTCCACTCTCACCCCTTACATTTCACTTGTACAATGGCCAAAAGGATCTTTTGAAAATAGTACTCAGATTATGTATAAAAGTCTCCAGAGGTTTCCTATATAATTAGAATAAAATCCAGACTCCTGTCCCTATGCCCAGGGGCCAGATGCCTACAAGGAACTGTGAGATCGGCCCCTGCTCGCCTTTCTGACCTCATCTTCTACCAGCCTTGCTCTTGATAACTGCTCTGCAGCCCAGGGGCCTCTGTGGTCCCCAAGCCCACCAGGCTTGACACTCCACCTCGGGGCCTTGCTGTTTTCCCTACCCGAAAGCTCTGTGTCCTGATTGTCACACGCCTGGCTTCTTCTCATCATCTACATAGGGCGGCCATATGGTTGTGTGTGGAGCGCCCAAGAAGTAGGGATGGAAATCCATCTCTGAATCACCAAAAAGGCGCTGGCTTGAGGATGCGTGGAGTGAGAGGAGCCTGCTTCTGATTCCAAAGACACTGATGGATGACCAAACCCTGTGCCCGTGATGCTTGTCCTCTGGGAGTGGGGGCCTTTTTCTAATCAAAATATTATTTCTTATGTCTAAGGAGAAGGGAGAACTAACAATCACTGGGCACTTACTTTACATCCATGTCTCATGTAAACCTCACAAAAACACGATGGACTTAGTATTATTGTCCTTATTTTACATGTTAGACACTGAGATTGAGAGGGGTGAATTGCTAATCCAGACTTAAAATTGCACTCTAATTTCATTGCACCATACTGTCTCTAAAGACGATGAAGCAAGAACTCACTTGGAAACTTCCATTTTTTTCATGTTTTAATTCTACTTATTTTATGATTTTGGTAGGAAAGTTAGAAAAGTCTATGAAGGCCCAGCTATAGTCATTAAGAATAAGTTACTATTAGGGGCTGACCTGGTGGCATAGTGGTTAAGTTCAGTCACTCTGCTTCCACAGCCCAGGGTTCATGGGTTCAGATCCCGGGCATGGACCTCCTCATCTAGCCATGCTGTGGCAGCATCCCACATACAAAATAGAGGAAGATGGGCACAGACGTTAGTTCAGGGACAATCTTCCTCACCAAAAAAATAAATAAATAAGAATAAGTTACTATTACTACAAAACATACCCCACCTATACACCTTCCAGGTGATAAATTAAGGTCAGTGTGAAATCCAGTAAAATCTGCCATTTTTCTCCTGAGTCTCCACACTCTTGGACATACAGATCTTGTCCCTCTCCTGACTTTTGTAGATACTAATTTATAGTCTATTTGGGAGCGTTATTTGTATAAACCTCTAAGATAATGACTTGTTATTAAAATTTTCTACTTGGGAATTCAAATGCAGACCAAAGAATAAAATTTATTTTTTTCTTCCTTGCTTTCTTTCTCCTTGCTGTAGGAAAAAATATAGAAGTAGACTTCAGAAGGTTGGCAAGGATTACAATTCTGTAAATTGAGTCAAGTTTTTGGTAGACGATCTTGGAAAAACTGTTTTTTGAAGGTCCCACTTGAGCTATAAAACAAGGCCTAGGCTTAGTCTGGGAAGCAGAAATAGTAAGTATTTTTCAGCTCCATTTAGCAATCTGAAGTGATTCCATTAGAATTCAGCTTCCTCTTCTAGAAATAGCGATAAATAACCTTCATATAGTGCTGATGACATGCCAAGCCCTACCCTAAGTGCTTTGCATATAGTGAGTGATTTAATCCTTCCAGCAACCCCATGGGGTATAGGTACTATTCTTATCCCTATTTTACAGATGGAGAAATTTGAGCACAAATAGGTAAGGTCTAACTGCCTAAGGTCATAAACCTGTAAGATGCAGAGCTGAAATTCAGACCCAAGCCGTTCATCTCTGGAATTCACGCTCTGGATCACCAGGGCAATATGGCCATTACACCCTCAAGTGAATAGGAGGGTAATGCTGACCACTGTTGCATTGTGATCATTAGGATTGTATGCAAACACACTGAAACTGGAAACACTGAATAAAGGCCATAATGGCACCAAGAAAACTAACAAATGT